TGCCGCATACACCTCGGCTGTGTCAAACAGATTGATACCGTTCTCGTACGCCAGCGTCATCAGCTGCTCAGCTACCTGAGAGAAGACAGAGAGAGAGGAGAGACGGGGACAGATCACAGATGGAGAGAAAACAGCTGACAGCTGAGAGGGCATTATAGCTTTATGTTGTCTTCAGCAGTACAAAACTCAAATTGACATGGTTGTACTGTACTGCATCCTGTGCTGCTATTTAGTTACTGTACAGTAGAGGTTGTTCAAAGCTACACTTAAAGCATTCTGCAGAGCCGCTCATTGTGGCCCTAAATGTTTCACTGGATATGACAACGGACTTCATACTAACACCTATCATAAAACATGACTTAAATGCATACAATTACTATAACATACTGTACTTTGGGTGATATCAGAGTTTTTTTTCCAGGGTTTTAACGCTTTGCTGAAAAAGTGCTTGCATACAAAATGCTATTGTCCAGTAGTTTGTGAATAAATAAAGAGTAACAATCCATGAAAACCCTACCTCATCAGTTATTTGACCACCAAATGTCACCCATGTGCCTGAAAAGTGAATGTACAGGTAGTGTCAGAGCGACACATGCAGTATTATATACTGTAACAATGCTGCTCAGTGAATCCTAAACTAATTCAAATGTTTGATATTTATAAAAGACAGTGAGAGTACACATAGCACCATGTTTTACTCACCCAGCCCTAGACATGATACTCGTAAGCCCGATTTCCCAAGGTTCCTAAAAAAAATAGCAAACGCTTTAGATAAAATTAGATGCAATCGTGCTGATTATTAACAATCAATGATGGCTGTTGTATGTAATGTATAAATAAATGTACCGTGATAAATGTACCGTGATGCATAAATTGTACTTAATGTTTCAGACTGCTCTAAGGATGTTGTATTTTTGTCCTGTGGTCAGTAGCACAGCTATGAATAAATCTGAACTCGTTGTGTTTTCATTATGTGTAACCTGGGCCACCAGCTACATATGTACTGTAGCAGTCATTGTTTGTAACTCCCACTCAAACGCAGACAATAAAAAGAGAGAATGAAATCCAGCCTGGATACAGCACTACAGTACCTTCACCCCAATGAACCAATCAGAAGACCACCTGGGTCTTTTGTTCGATATATCTTGAGTTTGCAAAGAGCCAAGGTTACAGTGCTGAGCAATTACTATAAGACCACACACTCAAGGACACAGACTGCCTTCATAATTACAGCTATTCAGTGAGCTTTTGATTCTTATTTGAAGGACGAGAAGCAATTTATGACTGGCACAAAACAAAGATGTTGCTTTAAAAAATACCTTTTCATGGTTTACAAATAAAAAACGTTTAAAAACCTTTTAGGCGAGGACAGAAACGATTATGAAAAGGCACAACATTTCCCAGAAGAAATCAATCAAGAGTCATGAATTTATCCTTGAGAGACATTCCTACTGTATATCCTTCAGGGAAGTTATTCACTTTATTTTCACCACATACTGACAAAAATGTGTGATGGATTTATATGGTTTAATCATGTACATCAGTTCTACACAAATCAATTAGGTAAAAGAAACAGAATTG